CCTTTTCCAGCAATAGAAATAGAAAGGGAGATATTTGTTAAAACTGTAAAGAAGTAGAACCATTGTAATAACGTACACCTATGCATGACTTGTCCTAGATTAAAAAAGTAAATAACTTAAAACATGGATTATATATCTGCATCTTCGCATATTTCTTTGCTTTATTTATTTGATGAGAGCTTTTTGTTCTTCAATTATTGATCAAATTAATTAGTGTTTAATATGGTTTGAAGAGTTTGCTTCTTTATTAAACTAAGAACATTTCTATGTGGTTGCCCATGGATACAGCAAAAAGCAAATCAATAGATTTTCTTCTGCTCTGATGCATGTATTGTTTTGCAGGTGTTTGTTTAGATGTCCCAGAGCTAGATGATAGCCCAACAGATTTGCTTTCACAAGCAGACCATTATAGCTGCCATGAGATTCTGCTTGGTACTTGTATGTGAAACTTTATTGAATTTAGGTAGTAAAATCATATACGACGAACATGGACATGGAAAAGGAGTTTAGAAAGAAAGAGGGTATAAGAACTAAGGGGAGTGAGAAAGAGATAGAGACAGGAAAGAGTGTATGAAAAGAGAGATAATAAAACATAAGAACAAAAATAGACAACATAGAAGATATACAGTAACTTCTAGAAGCCTGGATGCTCACCTGTATGAGACAAGAGAGAAAGAATACAGAGAACATAACATCTGGATATCTCTTAGATATCCATATGTTTGGAAGGTAAACCTTATGGTGATTACACAATATTATTCAGGGTGGTATATATCTGTACCTAGTATTAGTGTGTATCACCGAACACCTGGAGCCAAACTCCTATCGTGTGTAGGCATGGGCGTGCTTGTGTATAAAGGATTTACAAAGCTTCTTAAAATTGAAAATATGCAGGTGCGGGCAGACCTAGAATCACCCAAAGGGCCCAGGATTGATAAAGAGGTGATGCCCCAGATATCCAAAGGCACATCAGATCACTAGGACACGAGGAAGGCAGACATAGGGATGACCGCACCCACAGAGAAAGGTGAATGAGAGCACCCGAAACCCGACCCTTTGGAGGTCAAAACCCCAAGGGGCCCAGTCCCAGAGGGGCCTGACCTCAGAGTCCATAGTGCTGAGGTCCCATAGGGCCACAGTAGCCAGCCCATGAACTCCACTGGTGACACCCAAGGTTGACCCAGATAGGAGCCTCGGGGTCTGAGGCCCGCAGGCACACTATCCCCTGGTGGGGACCCCACATGGTCATGAGGCTCAGGCCTGGCTGGACAGCCACCCAGAATGAGACAGTACCCACATACTTAGACAAGGAAAAGGACAAGGACATTCATCTCGTCACATTCATGTGCCAATCCACTCAGGGGGAACAGGCCAACAGACCCAGAATCTCTAGAGCCCCCAGATGTGCGAAGGGGACAGGCTGCTTGAGCTCGAAATCAACATTATGCTGGAATCGGGTGACACCAAAGGGGAGGAGAGCAGCAGTTTAGCCCATTTCTAGCCCCAAACACAATCCCAGACTCACCACCAGAAGGGTCACCTAACCAATTGCTGGTCACAGCCCCCACCATGGCATCTGCCCTTTGGGTATCTGCCCACAACCCAGATCGTGGACCCCCAGCCCCCCTCTCCCCATCACCAATCTCCAATCCTTAAATTGCAACCATAGCTACACTTCTAGTGTGACTGAATGCTGATAAAGATTCTCAGTCATCCAGGTCATAGTCATTCCAAAAAAGTTAAAAAAACAATCCGCTTTATCTCCAAGTTTGAAGAGGTTTTGCCTCCCATCCAGAAAGCTTTTTTAATTTAAATGATATTTTGAATTGAAAAAGCCTTTTCAAAATTTAATCCATTTTGAAGATTTTATCAATTTCTTCAAATAATTATTACAGTCAGATGATTATTTAATGGTGCTATAATTGTGACCCAGAGAAAATTGTCACTTATATTTGTCTGCTACAACTCAGCACACTTCGAGAGTGAGTTTCTAGGGATTCATTGGGGGACTGGCAAAGTGCTACTGTGCCATTTTAAAACAGGCTTAAAATAGGCAAAGCTGTTGGGAAACTCGCTCTACGGGGGAAAGGAATTAGAAAAACACTTGCCTGCCTTATTAAGTGAGCAATGGAAAACCAGCCAGCCCCACTGGGAGAAACCCGGTCAGTCCTTCACTTTTTCTATCTTTGAGCCCCCATCTATATGTTCTGATTTATCTCTCATTTCTCAAGCTGCTTGAAGAATTACCAAATCATGGACAACATTTTTACAGCAACATTGCCTTTTAAATCGGTTATTGGAGCCAAGTCTGTCCTCTGAAGCTGAACACATCCAGGAACCCATCAAGGCTAAAGTTGAAGGCTTATATCCTCCCAAATGAGAGGTTTGACCCCATGTCACAAGTTAATCCCTTCCCTGCAGCTCTCATCTCCCTCAAGATGCTTTTCAGCGTACCAATTTATTTATTTTTTACTTGGAACTTGCTTTGATTGGAACTTTCGGTCTGGGATAAAAATATCTTTACTTAAACAAAGTGTGTGTGTGTATGCCATCAACAGTATTATATGTAAATTTGATGAGTCACTGTATCTAAAAATGACTGGAATGAATGTCTGATCATAACACATATATTTCTAAAAAATAGAATATGTAAATGCAGTTATTTTTATAGACTTTACATCTCACCCTCCCTACTATAGACCCTTTAATTGCCTTAATTGCAAGTCAGTCAAATTGGTTACTTATTCATGCAGAATGTGGTTAAAATCTAAAAACTAAAAATTAAAATAGTGCAAATAAACCAAAATAAATTAATTCACTACTCAAAAAAATAAAGGAACACTTGGTAATCAGAGTATAGCATCAAGTTAATCAAACTTCTGGGATATTGATTTGGTAAGGTAAGTAGCAGAGGGGGTTGTTAATCAGTTTCAGCTGCTTTGGTGTTAAATCAACAACAGTTGCACTAGAGGGGCAACAACAAGACGACCATCAAAACAGGATAGTTTTACAGGTGGAGGCCACTGACATATTTTCCCCTCCTCATCTTTTCTGACTCTTTTTTTAACGAGTTTTGCATTTGGCTAGGGTCACTGTCACTACTGTTAGCATGAGGTGCTACCTGGACCCTACAGAGGTTGCACAGGCAGTCCAACTCCTCCAGGATGGCACATCAACATGCCATTGCCAGAAGATTTGTTGTGTCTCCCAGCACAATCTCAAGAGCATGGAGGAGATTCCAGGAGACAGGCAGTTACTCCAGGAGAGCTGGACAGGGCCGTAGAAGGTCTACAACCCATCAGGAGGACCGGTTTCTGTTCCTTTGTGCAAGGAGGAGCAGGAGAAGCACTGCACCTATACAGGCTAGACAACAGCACCCTGACTGCCATTAGGTACTGGGATGAAATCCTTGCACCCATTTTCAGACCCTATGTTGCTGCAGTGGGTCCTGGGTTTCTGCTGGTGCACGGCAATGTCCGGCCTCATGTGGCGAGAGTATGCAGGCAGTTCCTGAAGGATGAAGGAATTGATACCATTGACTATGCTCGCCTGACCTAAATCCAATAGAACACCTCTGGGACATTATGTTTCGATCCATCCGACATCGCCAGGTTGAACCTCAGACTGTCCAGGAGCTCAGTGATGCCCTGGTCCAGATCTGGGAGGAGATACCCCAGGACGCCATCCGTCGTCTCATTAGAAGAATGCCCCGACGTTGTCAGCCATGCATACATGCATATGGGGGCCATACAAATGACTGAATACCATTTTGAGTTGCTGCAATGAAATTTTAGCAAAATGAACTAGCCTGCCGCATCTTTTTTTCACTGTAATTTTTGGGTGTTTCTTTGAATTCAGCCCTCTGTAGGTTGATAATTTTCATTTCCATCAAATGATGTGGCTTCCTTTTGTTCCTAACACACCACCCAGTCCATATCAGTATAAATAAACAGCATGATTTTTCCCTCATTGAGATCTGATGTGTTTTCAAAGTGTTCCTTTAATTTTTTTGAGCAGTGTACTAGAAGATAAAACTCTTCTCTGTCCAAAATCTTTTGCTGTCTCTATGTGTTTTCTTCCCGGATTAACCTGTATTTTGTATTAACTCTAACCAGCTTTTCAATCTTTGATTAAGAAAGGTATCCCTAACACATAATGTTGCCAACACAGAGTTTTATCATTGTGAAGTTGTATTCATGGAAATATGCCAATGTATGCATGTCTTTAAATTTGGTCTCATCTGAACAAAGATTCCTCTTATGTTGCTGTGTCTGCTCCTTAGTTTTTGTATTAAAAGTTTCAGTCAATAACAGCTTGTATGCCTTTTTTACTGTCTCCCTTCCATGAAGGCCAGATTTATAGTGTACATCTAGTTATTTTCCTGTGGCCAAGAAATTGAACTTCATTTTCATTTCATCACCAACATTATAAGTGCTGTTTTATTAGAATTCAAAAAATGCAGAGATTCATTTGAGTATGGTTCATCCAAGCCTCACTCAAATGGGATCATAGCAGTCTTAGTGTATGTGCATACAAACCTTAGTTGTTTCAGAGAGCTTCATCCTTTGTCACTGAGAGGTTGTTGTTTCGCTGGCCAGTATCATTCAATGGACCTTCAGTTGCTGAGCTATTTTAGAAACACTTTGGTTGGGATATAGCTCAGCCCGCCTGTTAGATCATCTGGGTCAGGATTTGAAAAACCTTTAATTGAAGAGACTAAGGCATACAGCTAATGTAATTATAGACTTCTGTCTGTCTCATTTAATTAAAATTGTTTAAGTTTAGGATGTGTAAGGAGAGAGGGCTGCAGATGATAAATCCAGAACGAGGCTCACATCTGCTATGACATTTATAAACAGAATGAATGGACATAAAAGGTAATCAAACTAGAGGCTACAATGAAATGATACAGTTCTTTGCTGCTTCTGGCATAATTTATTACAATAAAAATGTGAAATTCCGCAAAATCGCATAAATTACTGTATTTTTCTTTTCACTTGAGAATTTTGCTTAAGAATATAGTTTGAACTAAACAGAAAGCCTCATCTATCAAATACATATTTCAAAGATTACAGAAGAGTTGGTGATAAAAGAGCAAGTCAAGAGTTGCAGAAGTATAAAGTTAAACATTATAGATGCCTCTTTTTAAGCTCCATAGATTCTTGTCATTCTTCACATTTTGTTAACATGGTTTTAGCGCTGCTTAGTAAATATAAAAAAACACATTGTAGAACCAAGAAACACATCTATGAAGATAGAAAAAGACAAACTTCAATTGAGTTAAATGAAAAGGGACTTATGCACTGAATAGGGTTGAAAATATTAACTTTGACAAATAACAAAGGTACATTGCTGCAGATATACTAAAGACAGTGATAAAAAAATGTAATAATTGTCTTTATATACTAGTTAGATGGATATATTCAGTGGATCTCTCTCCTGGCTGCTTTTGCTTGGCTCTTTGGAGTTTTGATAGGACAATCTCACGAAAATAACGATGAGGATGATTCCTGCAATATGGCCATTAGATTTGTTTAATGTACTGCTTTTTGAAGCATGACATGTATGCATAAATATATTATTTTACAATTGAAAGTATAGTAAACCTGAACCTTAACAGCTCACCTATGACTGCAAAGGTACCAAGCAAAGTCCCCACTGCAGACTGAATAGTTGGCATGCCCTGCAGCGGCTTGGCAGCTATTTTGCAGTTTCCTCTGATGTTGCAAGGACACACTGTTACTGAGTGGAGAAACATCAATTGTCAACCACCACAACTACTAGTGACATTTTAAAACACACACCAATAATTCAGGAAAATAAAATATCTAAACTACTACTGAACAGATTGAAATTTGATTTAGGACTACATTTATTTTTAACACATTTTTAAACTTTTTTAATACAAGGTCCACATGAAAATACACTGTGTGAGACTGAGTTGGAAAAAATAATCATAGATATGAGATTACACATTTCTCAATGGTTAAATGTTATAAATAAAACTGACATTTTATCAGACTGAGAGAAAACAAGGTTAAGTTTTGGGTTAAGATCGTTTAACATTTATTAGATTACAAAGGAAGTAGTCAAATAAGGATGATTTTAGCATCAAACCCTGTTCTATTCTCTGATTTCTTAAAAAAATATCAAATTCTTATTTATTGTTTTTTTGTTTATTGTTTTCTTTAGGTAATCCACCTTTAGAAAAAATAATTGAAGAAAACAAATATCATCTGATAATTTCTTCCTACAACTCTAAATCTTAAACTATGCATAAAGAATTGTGTTCAAATCAGGTGGCAGCAGGTTTTTAAATCGGTAAAAATGATTTGTTCCACTGCATAATTAAACAAAAACTGAAGCCAAGCTGGCATGCAGGAGTCTATCCCTTTTGATTGTTTCAAAACTTTTTGTGAGCTGCAAAGTGATAAATACCTGGTAGGTTTATGAAGGTACTTCGAGGAGGAGAGCTGCTGTCGGAGATGGTGAAAGGGACCATGTAAACTTCAGGTGGCAGGTATGGGATGTTTAATGACAAGTTAGTGTGAGTATCTACAGAATAAGAAAAAAACCCACCAAAGATTAGTGACTTCAATAACACGCTCAAGATGTTAAGCTATTGCAGGGCAAGTAAAGTATAGGTTACACTATCCAAACAATTCTTATTTCACAACCTTTTTAAAAGTAAATCTGAGGGATTAATTTTTGTCTTCCTACTTTGAGATCTTTCTTACAAATTTAACTGTAAATATGAAGACTTAAAAAAAAAAACATTTCTCACAATTTAGATGTCTTTTGGATTAAATGGTTAATGACTGTAAGGTCATTAAGGTTAACCATTTGAGCTACTATAGATAAATAGTATCTAAAAGATTTTTGCCTTTTCCTAGTAAATCAATTACTGTGCACCGGGTGTTCTGCTAATATCTCTTTAAAAATATTCTTTTTGCAAAGGCTGTTTTGTTTCTTCTGACAATTTTGTATTTTTAATCTGTGATATGCTTAGAGTTTGTCATAGATTGAAAAAAAAATGGAAAGAGTTATTGTGTTTATGATAAAGCTCTGTAAACAGATCGCTTTTGTAAGCCAAAACATGTTCTATGCTGCATTGTTTTGTTACACTTATAAATTAAGTATGCAAGCTATGAAGTCCCTATAAATAGTGTAGACCAGGCTATTAAAGGGCTTTAAAAAAACAAACAACAAAAAAAAAACATGCATTTTAGAATGACCAGTCACTCAACTAAAAATAAATGATTTTCATAATTGCATTACTCTTTTTTGATTATTTGAAATGTTATAGAGTATCTTAAGCACAAGCAAATGGCACCTTAATAGCTGCATAGCCACACAGCAAACAGAATGAGAGAGACAAACCACAAGCTGTGAAGGGAGGACTGTGGAGCCTATTGCTCGTTATCTTATCTCGGTGAATCAGACTAAAACACAAGCTTGGCTGTATGACGTACAAACCGGGCCCTGTTAGAAGAAGCTCTTTATCAAGCTGTTTGAACCTTTATCTGAGAGACTTAAACTCTGTGCTTTCAACTTCCCATCACTCCTCCTTCATGTCCCATCTGTGAGGGAAGGAGCCACAACCTTCACAGCCTTTTCTCTAGAGGGTGAATGTGTGAGCACCTGTCTGCACAGAACTACTATATATACACATTCAGACATGTTGCAATGTTATAGGGAGGCTAGATTAATTAATTTCTTTCAAGCTGACAAAGTTCATGCTGCTGATTATCTGAGTTTCTTTCTAAAAGAACTAAATCAAGTCCCCAATAAACTTCAGGTAAATGGAAATCTTTCACATGTTTTCTATTAATTTCACACTCCTCCTATAAAGAGGTACAAGCTTACATTTATTCACATGAACATTACTCCTGTTACCAGGTGCAAGGCATTCTGGGAAAGGTCTTCTTTTAGCTCCCATTAGCTGTCAGGAAACCAGCGGTGACGCCAAAGAAATTACACAGAAGATATAATTACAGCTGGGCTCAATCAATACCAACAGGAACAGGAGAGTGAAAGAGAAACAGGGAAAAAAAATATCGAGAAGGAAGCGATTCAGTTTGAATCACTTAATGACAGACGTCATGGCTGTGATAGATGGAACTGAATGAACACTAACAGCTTACAACTGCACCGAGGGTTGATTTCATTATGGCTACTATTGAAAGTGGCATAATTTATCTTGATAGAAAAGGCAAATGGTATTTTGAATGTGTTAAGGACCAGATTACTTCATCTCTCTGGTTATTTAGATCTATAACAATCTGCTTCTGACAACATCATACCATTCACCTCACAACTGTCAACTGAAGCAATTTAAAAATCTGCATATCAGTGATACAACATTGCATTAATTCATTGCTAGATAAAAAAATGTCTGTTTTCCAATAAGTGCACCTTAAAAGAGTGTCTCCACCAATGAAGGGAGATCAGCTCCTTGTATATAGTTAGTTTCTTTTCATTTATAAAGCAAAAGATGTCATTAAATTATAAAAAAATCTATGATGTCATTCGGGTAAGTGCATTTATTTTGGTCTCTGGCTGGTTTTCACACAGTGCTTGAATATAATTAATGCTTCACCTGATGAGAAAAACATCCACTTAAAAATCTGATTAGAACACTTAACCTTAGCAAAGTCCTTCTGCCAAATAATAAGTATCCAGAAATAGCTTCTCCTAACTGAGTCATAAAACATGCTCTTCCTTTTCTTTTCCTTTCTCATCCAAGATTCAGGTGGCTTATACTAAAAGGACATGTGTCCTGATCAGGTCAAGGTGGTTTTGCATTGTTCGAACCATTTATGGGTGTCAGCTTCCAGTTGTGTCGCACTGTTGCATCACCCCGCAGTGAGAAATTAAGTCTTCCACCATGTTGTGGACCATCGCTGTCCCGTGAAGCCAGTACTAGAGCTTGGTCTTCCCATCGAGGTGTGCACAGGTATTTCCATGAATAGTCTCCAACCAGAACTGGACTATTGTCATTTACATCCAGGATTTGGACGGTCACCAGGGTGGATGCAGATAAAGAAGAGTTTCCTAGAATTAAACACAGCTGTTATAACAGAACAGGGTTGTGGAAATCCATTATTCACCACCTAGAAGATAAAAAGGGAAATTTTCTTCAATAGTATTAAAATCCAAGTCATCTATCTTACGTCCATCAACTGCAATGACCTCCATGGTGTATGTGCTGTTTTCCTCTCTGTCCAATGCATGCACAGTCTTCAGTTCACCTGAATATTTCCCAATTGAGAAGTATTTTTTGGTGTCTCCTTGAAGAGAATATCTTTAAAAAAGCATATTATATCCTGTAAAACTGGATATAGATGAATAAAACTTTCATTAACTAAATGAGTTACCTTATTGGGTGGGAATCAGGATCATAGCCTCGGATGGTGGCGATGACGCGGCCTGGTTCCTCCCCTTCTCTGACGGTCACCTCATAATGGCTTTGTGACAAAACTGGACCCTCGTTCACATCATCAACATAAATGGAGACTGTTGCTGTTGATAATGGGCCATATCGGCCACGGACCAGAGGAACTGGGTTCTGGGCACTGAGCACAAGTATGTACTCGCTCTCACGTTCAAAGTCTAACAACTGTGGGGACACGCATACGGTTGTTTAGTAAGATGTAGTACTGTGTTAATTAGAATAAACACAAAATTATTTATAGTAATTGAGCAAGGTGATTAATATCTTAATTAGCAAGAAAATGAATAGCAATTCACTGTTTTAAATAGACATAGAGTTTTGGAAGATTGGTTTAAGAGCACACAACACTGTATTTTCCCATCCAGCAGCAGAGGGACACATTGAGGTCCCCTATGTCCACTCTGCTTATCTGACTTCCAAGAAATCTGGAAATTCTGGCTCAGTATCGCTGTATTTTAATATAAACCAGATACAGTATCCTCACAGGAAAAAGCCTTAGTTTCTTCCTGTCATTTAACAAAACAGTTTCCATGATGCTGCATGTGTGCGCTGCTACACAAGATTTCTTCTCACTCCAAGTGAAAATAAACAGAGAGGGAAATTAAAGAATGTAGCATGGAATACCTAAATAGTGAAAAAAGAACAAACCAATTATTGATAAAGCTTGATAGCATCCCTGTTCTTAAACAGAGGCATGATATTTAACAAAAATAATAAAAAAATAGGACTAGAATTTTATATTTACAACTAAGAATGACCATAATCTGACTTGAGGAAAAAAAATGACTGTAAAATTCTGGATTTTTTTTAAGCTTTTCTGTTTAATGTAATGTGAAAACTGCAGTTTTATACTATTTAAAGTATGATGTGGATATTTTTTCATATTTGAAAGATAAAAGGTCAAATTAAGTATAAAATAATTTAAAAGTAATCTTCTTTGACCTTTCCCAGGTATTTGATCTTAATTGTAATCTTATCTCCAATAAAACAGCATGTTAAACTGGCAGTGCCTGACATCATCTTGCTCACATCATGCTGAGTGTATCTCTGTTACCATGGAGAAGTAGTGCAAACCAAGGAGAATAGACAAATGCTGCTTCTAAATGGAAGTGACGCATCCAAAAGACTGCAGTAAGTATAAGACTTTCTGCAGGATTATCTCACACATTTGAACCACTGTATTACTACATCAGACGGATGATACAACTTTTGTTTTGCTCCAAGGCTAATTTTGAACCGGTTTCATGATATTAGCACTCTCAGCTTTGCTGGTACTTAGTTGAGTTTAAACATCTGTTTTCCTTAAACATAATTTATTCCATATCTAGTGACTGCACTTATTCTGGTTTAATAAAAACCACATAAATCCTTTTCCCAACTGTAACCATTCAGGATCCGTGTATCATTCTTGTATGCTTACTTTAGTGAAAAGAGGAGACCAATATTATGCGGGCTAGGTGCATAAATAACATACTCTAAGTAGATGTCAGCACTCATTTGAAGGGTAGACTTTCTAAATCTGTCATGATCTGCCAGTCTGGACTTTTTGGTTCTGTTTAAGTTTTCTTTTTGGCTTCTCAGTTATGCTTTATTTTATATTATTCTGTGTTTTTTTCAAGGTTTATATCGTTTTTGAATTCCTAGTTTTACTCTTCCTTGTTATCTCTTTTCAGTATTTTTACATTGTTTATTCCTTGGTCTAGTTTTAGCTATAGTTGTTATTTCTCTTATGTTTAGATCATGTTTTCCACAACTTTAGTTATCTCCAGTCCCTTCTCTACTAGTTTTTTTCCCCCTCTGCCATTCTTTGCTTTCTAGCCATTAGTTTTAATTCCCTTTTGATTTGTTTAATTTATTTTCCAGTTTTAGTTAAGCCATGTTTACTCCTTGTTGCCCCTGTCCTGTCCCCTTAGCTGCTTCTGTCGACACCTGCTCCCAATAAGCTGATCACTCCACACTTTGTTCTGTCTCCCATATATATACCCCTCTTCTGAAGCTCATACAATTGCTGGATTCTCTTAATTTTTTATGTATGTTCTTGCCAAGTGGTTCCTTGTTTTGGTTTCTAAGTTCCCTGCTGGTTCAGTCTGGTTTTATGCTTCCCTTGCCACCAACTTCATCATTAAAACTACATGAAACCATCTCTGCTTCTGTCATTTGGCTCCTCTAAAAAAACCTGCCAAATCTGACAAAATCTTGTTCTTGTATCAATCTTGGCTGGCAGATCATAGCTACGGCATCCTTTTTGGAACGTCAAATTTGTGTCAAACTATCGACAACATTTAAATGCAAGCAATACAAAAAAATTAAAACTCCTCATATGTCCCTTCCAGCTCTGCTAAAAAACAGAAGAATCAGAAAACAAAAGGGAGTAAATATAGCATGATTTTTGGTGTGCTAAACACACAGAGAGAAAAGTAAAGACATGGGACCTTGATGTGCTGCTTTATAAGATATTTCAAACCACTACATGTTGTCAGACTGATTCTGTTTGACTGATTTCTTTATTATACCAAGTAATTTTACATCGCCTTCTGAAGTTATCGTTTTCTAACCCTAAAATGTGTTTGAGAAACCAAAGTATTTAAGTGTTAGGACAAAAGACTTTGTTCTTGTTCGCATTTTGTTTGCAGTTTATCTTTTTTAAATATCAATTACTTCATCCATCGTCTATATCCGATCTGCATCACCAGAAAGCTGGTGTGTATCTACTGCTATTATCTAATAAGAGGCGGTGTATATACTCAACATGTTTACCCACACATCCATTCAAATCATTTAATTTAGAGAGACCAATTAAGCTAACACTCATGCCTATGCACTGTTGGAGTAAGCCAAAGTACCAAGACAGAACAAGTGCTCTCACAAAAGGTTTTAACTCAACAGCAGATCTTATACGAGAATATGAACCCAGGACCCAGTCTTTACTGTTTTTGGGGGGATATGGTGTCACTGGTTTTTATCAAGTAAAATCCAAAATCAAATTAAATGTAGACCACATTTTATCTCAAACATAAAGGGATATTGGTTCAATCTGTGCACTTAGAAATGTATAGCAGAACTCTAAATTACAAGCATTGCTTTTGTTCAATGGTTGTCTAAAATAGATTATCATAAATTCATGGTTTTCCTATTAGGCAGGGAGAAATGTCAATGATATCTATTCATCTTAGCACCTGTTGTTCCATCCCCAAGTTTCTGGTATTTGGGAAAAAACAAATGTCAACAACAAAAGGATTACAAAAGTATGGAAGTAGTTGACAGCTGTTAAAAAGAAAGGATCCATGCTGATATTCTGACAGTTTTGGCATAGCCATGGTAACCACCAGTTACAGGGAGGGCTTGAACATAGAGGGAGACTGTTTCATTTTGTAACAGTGGAGTAATTTTTGCAGTTTCTTTTGCCAAACATCAAAGTTACAGGTCTACCCACCTACTGGCAGTATTATCTTAAATCGAAGAATGAATACCATATACAGTCTAATAAAATTATGCTTTCTTCAGTTTGCTTCATGTTGATGGATAGCTGTCGTATTGTGTGCAGTGATAGAGTCAAATGACCACTATTCTATGCAGACATGCTGACCTCACACTATAACTTTGTATTGTAATCCTCTTGAGCTTCTCTTGAAAGTCTGTAAGATTTAACTGAAACCACATTAAGTTAAATAAACAACTGTAACCCTTGAAGTGACATGCATTATTAAAGGGATATCTAACAAGGTCACAGTGAGCTTTAAACACAAGCATTATAAAAGATAACGAGTGACATCATCCCTGCAAAAAGAACATGTCTCCTCTGCTCATCTCCAATAGTACATCAAGCTCCATTTTTAGTTTTTTAAAGTCTGCTTCATCTCAGGCGTGCACGCGTGACACACAGTTAAATCAAATTTAAACTGTCTCCAGCAGCAAGGTTGAAAATAATAGGCTCCTTCATGACCCACTTACAGAAAGCAAACCATTAGAGCAAACACACAAACACACGCAGACATGCACTCATTCTGGCAAGTGTGTCTAAAATGCCCTGCAGGATTATGGGAGTCAGGCGAAAGGGTGATGCACCCTGAGGATAGCAGAGATTATTGACTAAAGCATTCCATTAACATTGGTACAGCCTTTTTTTTTGGTACCGGATTTATAAGGGCTACTCTATTGTTTATTGTATTCTTACAGCTTTCTTGGAATATCTCAAATGGACTTCTTTGATTTTGATTTTCAACCAAGATCCTTTTATTTTACTGGTATTGTTACCCTGGTGTCTCTTATTAGTTCTTAGTGTGCTGCTCATGTAAGCCACCATGAAAAACTTGTCCTTGACATAATCTTTATGCATTTGTAGCCTTTGTTTAAATAGAATAATGCAAAGCTATTATAATATAGATACATTGTGAGTCTGCAGGACAAACAAGACTGTTCACCTTTGAGAGAACGAGTGAAACTTCATTGGTCTGCCTGTCTGTCACCAGTGTAAAGACATCCTCCTCATTACCAGACTCTAAATGGTAGTCCACCTGCCAGCTGTCCCCACCTCGAACATCCGCATCCCTTGCCAACACAGCTGTAACTGTGGTTCCCACAAGAGCATCCTCTGGAATGTGAAATGGCCCATACTAGGGAGAAAGGGGAAAAAGGTTGTTAATAAATACTGATTGAAATGCCCTATGTTTTTCCTTGTAGAAGACCAATATATGATACAAAGAAAATAAATAATGGTAGAAATTCGGAAAATTCATAGGAAAGGTGTTCTAATACCACCTTGGCAGCGGCATAAAGCGATCTATATGTTTTTTAATGGGTTATTTAAATATCTGCCAGTGTTTCAGTAAACTAAATAACCTTTGATCAGTTCAAAACCAGTTTAGATCAAGACAAGCAAAAAAATCCAAACATTTTGCCTGTTTAAACTAGTGTTGCACCAATACCATTATACCAGTATCGGGCAGGGCCCCAATACTGCACTAAAATGGTGGTATTGGTATTGGCGAGTACCAACAAATAGCGCACCGATACCATTTTGAGAGCCAAAAGTTTATTCAACTATTGTCACTGATTCCAGGTAGGCTATAAAAAGTTCTACTGGATTCACTTTGTATTAGTCTTTTTCCTGCTTCACAAAGGTAGGCAGCAGCTTGACAAAGCCATGATGGCAACTATTTTACATCCAAGTAGTATACAATTCTTCATATATACACACACACATCAATTTCAAACAGATGGTATCGGCATGGTATCGGCATCGGCTGATACTGCACAGCCAGGTATTGTGTATCAATATCGGGGCCAAAAAATGGCATCAGCGCAAACACTAGTTTATACCTTGACTGAAAATCTCTATAATCCTAAAATGGATTAACACTACTGTAGGTCAGAACAACAAAAGGACTTTTTTGTTGTGGGGAGCTTGCTTTCACAACGTAATTCTTTTCAAGAGAACAATAAATTGTAAACATAGTTATAAGTCTTACAATCAATGCTTCTCATAGACAGGCATGACTGGGGTGCAATAAAACACAGACCCAGAGAAGGAGGAAAACTACTGTGGGAATCCTGGGTGGGGCATCTGTGTTTTGTTTAGTGCTAAAATAAAAGCTGCAAAATTCTTGAGATTGGTAAGAGCAGCTCATGCAATGCAGGTTCCATGATCTTTCATTTCAAATTTTGGAATGTCATCAGAGAACAGATGTTACCTACAGCATCTTGGCAGCTCTGATGCAAAACAACAAATGGCCTATTAGGTATGATTTCAGTAATAGGTTTACTGCTATGGTTACTTGTTAAGTTCAAAGAAATGTGGGGATTTTTTAGGGGGTATTCAGACAGAAAAGCTAGTCCAGTTGTTTGGAGGTTTAAAAAAAAAGCAAAGAAAGCTCAGGACTGGAACAGGTACTGAGTGAAGTCAGATTAGATGTGGAGCATAAAAAAGTACAGTATACCAGAAACTGCATATACTTTACTTGTATATATTTGTTTACATGGCCTTTTAGTGTTTGCAAGCACAAATTGCAGGTCAGTGACTGCCCATTTTTTTGCTGTGATGAAATGTAACTGTATGTGATAATATGTTTTCCACCCTCTTGGCTTCCTGGTGCTAAATGACCTTTATTCACCAACTTCTCTGTGTTTAGACAGCTATTTAATCTGCCACTCACAGATGTCCTCCAGTGGAGCAGCCATGCCTGTGATCTGGCTGCCCCATCCGCAGCACTGCTGATCCCAATCCTGTCACCACTCTCCTCCCACCCCAAACCTCCCACCCCACCGCAGCACTGCTTTCACATTGCTATGGAAAAAGCTGCTCTCCTCAGGCGTGACCTGCTCAAGAGCATTTTCCACTTTTGTGTTAGTGCGTTGTGTGTGTGTTAGTGTGGTGGTGCTAACCATTATGGGACCAGGAGTTCATCTGTTTTAACAGCTGTAAAACAGGTACTCAGCAACGTTTACAAGACATAAATTTGAGAGGGCATTGCCATAAAAATACATTAATGACGGATTTTATATCAAATGAATGACTTTATTAAGCCTAAGCTGCTTTGTATAGAAGTGTTTATTTGTACAACTTGCCTTTACGGTTACAGACTTTCTTAGCAGTAAATCTCATAGCATTGTGGAGCCGTTTATTTCTCCTTAATATGACCCCAATTTGTAATGAAAGTGAATGTATGTATTGAGCAGTAGAGTTTAGTTGGACGGTAATGATGAAAACCTTTTTAAACCTTCTCTGCAAGATCCCAACGGATTTTTGGTGGAGACAGTGTAATGATGCTTCATTTTGAAAACAAGGCCAATCATCATTCAGCACAATCTCAATACAAAAAAATATGATAAGATTCAGAATCCATGTTTTGAGGAAAAACTTTAACCTTGATGATTTAAATTATTGTACCCACAGAACAAGGTTTATTAGAAACCATCTGAGCAATCTGGGAGAGGGTAAATTGTAACAGCTTAAAACCAACCCTACTGAAATCATGTAGGGGATGATGTGAAAGTGACCAACATGGTCACATTAGCTGTTTTTTGTGACAAATACTGAATGAGGAATTCAGTTCTTTCCCAAAGTAGTGGGCGTCCATCACTGGGTAGCAGGAGCCAGGCTGTTGTGGCTTAATAAAGTTCCTAATCTCTGTACACAACCCCCTGTTGGTCAAGGAAATATATCAATAAATTACCAATATGTCCTTAAAACCTTAGTTGTCCAACAATCAAATGTAACAGAACATTAGTCCATGGAGTTGTTTAGAATTGGCATAGAACATTTTTCACCTCTGTAACTTAACCCACAGCTGTTTTCATATAAACATGGAACCACTTAAAGGAATGTAAAAGGATTTTCCACTGAAGAAAGATTTGTGGTCAAGAATCAATAGTAAAAACGAAGAGGCAAATCAACCACATAATAATTTCAGCTAATTCCTGATGTGGGAAAATTCGATCTCATTTAGTTTTTGGCTTGATTTAAACAGGTCTTGTTTTCAAACGAACTGATGGTGAACAGAAAATAAATAAATCAAACTATGTCATCTATAATCCAGTTTTGAGGTCAATTTGAGCTGGAATCATGTTTAGAAATCATTTAAGCCTCTCTTCACTTATCAGGGTTGAGGCACTATGTTTCCTTCTACTCTGGACATTATGCTTGACATCTATAGTAGATATTTGCCGGTGAACATTATCCAGATTGGAAGGAAGTCAGGATGGCCAAGCCGTCCAAGGTACTGTTTTAAGGTTGCAGTCTCCAATAGAGGTGTCGGTTCGCATACCACTTCTGACAATGTGTTTTTAGGGGAGTAATAGCCTAGAGTGAATTAATTAATCATACAGATCGAAATGGATTAAAAAATGTATTGTTGATGCAGTTATTTTGATTTTTTTTATACATACTAAAGTTCTAAGTGGGAACCTTTGTATTCCCTGTAATTCGGACGCATAAGCAGTATCACATGTGCTAGTCCACTTAGGGCATTCATGCTCAAAAAGCATCTCAGTGAAATGGAAGGTACACTGTAACTATGGTTCTGTGAACTCCGGGATGACTGCCAGTCACACCAGTTACTAGGAACTTCCCGAGACCTTAAATAGACACAACGGTCAGGTGAACTACATCACGCACATAACTGTTTAAATTAGAACCTAACTTTGGGCAAGCTTGATGCACAGACATATATATCCGTGGGGTTCACAGTCACTGGCAGCGAGGAGAAAATGAAACAGGACTCATGTTGGTAGAATACAATTTGCTCATGTTAATGTCAGTGTACCCAGTTGCATCCAGCACACATCAGCCCAGCTGACAAGCTTTAGAGCCCACAAACACCTTATCTGAAACACTAAATTTCCTTTTTGCTAAAGAGGTTGCAACATGGATTGATTTTCTTAGTGTGGCAAGGTACACAACAGGTACACAACAGGTAAACAATGGGTAGGATGCCATTTCTAGAGTCCTGGGCAAAAGTCATGTGTGCTGACCAGTCACCAAAGAGGTATATTCTCATCATTACTCAGACGCATAGTGACAGGACCCCACTGTCCCATTATTAAGTGGCTCAAGGAAAAATGTAGCCTCAGTGGCATAAATGTTTCAAATGCACTAAATGTTGCATTTTCAATAGCAAAATCTTTTCTGATTAAAATGTAGTCAATTGAAAGTAATTAATTACGGACCATGTAATTACCTCCATTAAAAAATCAACTGAATCCCACTACTAAAATTTTTTGTTTTGTTTTACACTTGTGTAAACAAAATGAAAAATAAAATCTGTCTAAGTCTAAGTGTACTACTAAGTAGATATAATTTAATATGCATTTTATTTAAAGGGGTCATAGAATGATTATATAGGGTATTTGGTGCTGGTCCTTAAGGTCTCTGAATAGGGTGTGTAACACTGGTTGGGCTGAAAGTAGCATATTTGCTGTTCTATGAGCCCTAAGGCAAGCCTGAATCCCTAGAATGAAACGACAGGTTTTCTTCCTTTAATGGCATGATTATGAATATTTAGATGAGCTGATTGGTTGGTTTACAATAAGCGAAGCTGCTGAGCAAAGACGCATCATAGCAACAAGCACTCACTCACTGAAACATTGAAAGTGTTGATATGGTAGGGCGACCAGACGTCCTCTTTTTCCCGGACATGTCCTACTTTTCATACCTAAAAAATTTTGGGGGGAATTTCAAAATCTTCCGGGATATAGGTCGACTACAGTGCAGCACGTTGTTGAATCCCACTGGCACTCAAACCGAGCCGTCAGCTCAAACTTTGCAGGGATCTTCTGATAGACAAAAATAATCTATGCCTGTCGAGTCTTCGGATGCATAGGAAGACTGTGAATAATTTCCCCTTTTCCATGCAGCCTTGAACACTGCCTTTATGCCCGTGGTTCTGGCTTATTTTCAATAGAGAAACTGCCTGCTTTGTAATTCTGTAGAAATAAACCCAACTGTAGCCTAAACAGCTAAACTAGTGTCTTATACCTTCGCAACCTCTATTCATGTTCTTGGGCCAGTGAACCAGTGGGCTGGTCTGTATGTAGATTCCGGGGCGTGACAAAAGTACAGGCCAGAACCAAATAAGGAACCACATCTGAGTTTATGTCAACGCGGTACTTCGTTTGAATTCGCCCGTTTTGTGGTGGAAATTTGGAATTGTGAGATTTGCATAGAAAGGAGGCGTCGATGGGGTTTAAACTTCTCTGTACGTCCATTTCACCCACTGAACTAGCGTTATTAATCTATGACAAGGTAAACTCGGTTTTGCATTCTATGACCCTTTTAAAGTACATGATGTCATCTGGGTTATTTTTGTTTCCAAAAAGCTAAAACAGCAATGCACAAAAATAATCTGCAGTACAACGACCAAATCAAAAAACTTAGATAAAAAAAAAAAAAAATAATGACATAAAATATCACATTTTAACATAATGTCCTTCAAAATTAGTAATAAATAAATAAAATTAAAGAAATCAATTTAAAGTCAAATGACTATTTCTTAAAACCATGTAAATCTATGTGACTATATGCAAACCCTCAATATATAAATATAATGAAACGACACTTATCTACACATTTGACGTTTTCCTGTTACTCTGATCTTCCTCGGTTTTCCAGTCTCTCTTTTAAACCCATGCTTCCTAACTTTTGTGTACCTTTATTCAAAATGTCTCTGTAAAAATCTAATGGCCAATGTTTTTGCTTATATTAATCACTGTCCTACTCAGTCTTCCTTGTGCTGCTCATGATCAAATAGTTACTTCTAAGTTGGAGTTTGGAAAAGCACTACCCTGCAAATGTAACTGTACCAGGGAGAGTTAAGGCTTTCTGAAGAGCCATCCAAATATTTGGGAATATTTCACTTATTTTAAGAGAGGGAAGTAAACAGTTCAAATAGGATCATCTGTGAATTGGGAAATTCTGGAAGGTTTTCCATCTCTGTAGCAGGTGCACTCTGGCTGTTCTCCAAAGAAAGGTTTGTCTCAGAGAAAACTACGCTGCTCATTCCTTATCTTTGCATCAAGCTAGCCCGAAAGATCAGTAACATTTTTCAGTTTTTTTACATATATAAATAAAGGTTTTTATTTGATCAAATATGTTATATCAACAAATCATTAAATTGTGGGGCGTTGTTACTATAGTCATAGAGAAAATATGATAAATATAATAAATACATGTATACTGTTTACTTGCTCTTGGGGGCCTCCTAGTCGCCCGATGTTCTCAAGCAGTTGTCTAGTCTTTGGCCGAGCCTTCACTCACTGATCAGTTTTTCTCACACCTCCTTATTCCCAATCACTTCCACACTTCTTTTAGTTTCTGTGTCTTCCTTCTGTTCATGGAAGGTTATTCTCTGTTCCCCTGTCTCCTTCCTGGACCTGGATCATTGATAAAGCTTCAGTTGATGTTCTTTTCACACTGTGTGTCTTTCTTTCTCATAAAAAGGGCAATTCTGTTTGTTTATTTTCTGTGTTCTCTTTGTACAATCGATCTTCACAGCCATTTAATGCAGATAATGGCTTACACTGTTTCTGGTTGTGAAGCAGGATTTAATCTGCTGAAAGGGAGTCTCTTCTTTCCAGTGTCACCACTTTCTTGCTCAGGATGAGTGATAGCTGCAAAGTTATTGATACGAAGCAATCGATTGCAAATCCCTAGACCAGGCATGTCCAAAGTCAGTCTTTGAGGACCGCTGTCCTAGAGGTTTTCAATGTTTCCAGCTTCATTACAGCTAATTCTGCTGACTGCAGTTTAGCAAAGGCCTGTTAATCAGCTATCAATGTAAATCAGCTGTGCTGAAGCAGGAAAACCTCTAAAACCTGCAGGGTAACAGCCCTCAAAGACTGACTTAAGACATGCCTGTCCTAGACAGCATAATATTGGGTTTCTAAAATATTGAATGGGAATGTATGGTCAATGATTTGGCTAATTTAGATTAAATTTATAGAAATTCATACTTTGAATCAAAGGACTTCTAACTGCCTCTAATTTGGACCTGATAGTCTTGTAAATTGCCACAATATATTTTTTGAAAACCTTTAAAATGTTATTTTCTAAATGCAAATGTATTAAATTGCAAAATTTCCAGTCAGTGCACATTCATTGCTTCAAACAAAAAATGTCTTCATAGCTCTCTGACATCGAACCACTCCCCAATTATCACAGTGTGACTGCTCTCCCACATAATTCTCGCCTGAAAAGCATGGCTTTTCAGGCTTTTACTCTATTACTGTGGCCCATTTGAGGGCAAATAAATATATTTTCTATAGCAGACAAATTTTGTTTCTCAGCAGCAAAAGGAACAAAAAAGAGAGAAGCTATTGCTGAGTGTTGGACTTAAATGCTTGGAATTAATATTTTAATAAATGTACTGAATCTAATTTAATAAGAGAATTAGCTAAAAAAAAAAAGTACCAGTGGAATCACATCTGAGGAGAAATATTGATCAGAAAAAACTCAGAAAACATTGTGTACTTAGAGAAAAAAGAGCTACAGACCTAGCAACCACCTCTTGCTCTCTGCCAAGAAAATGAGATCTGTGACAGTCAAAGTGCTTTCTCAGTCTACGGCTCTGCAGCCACTTAGTCATGCCAATGTTTTCCCTGCCATTTCATCAGGATTTTGTTTATGAAGCCTTCACAAGCTGCAGTACAGAAAAGGAGTATGTCTTAAGTTTTGTGTACATATGTGTGTGTTCAGTTTGTACAGCCATACCTCATGCTGGGAGAAGACTGGTGGGTTGTTGTTTTCATCTTGAACCGTCACAACCACGGTGCAGGAACTGTTTAGACCTGCCAGGGACATGATCACAGCTTCCGTTAGTGACTCAGGGTCAGCCATTCACACAAATAAAACATGCAGAAAGAACATCTAGTACCTTCCATCACACCCTGAGTCCCTGAGTCAAGGAGATCACATCATCAGTTACCCCAGAGGGTACATCTATACATTCATTTACCCAAATGTGTCAACCGAGCCGCTAAGGCTGTTAAATTAAAATATTCTGAATGTGAAATATATACTCTCTCTATGAACTGACCATCTGGAAATCTCTGTTTTTATCTTCCTTTTGTTCATGTTCCTTCATAGACATAGATGTAACTCTGTTGCTTTTATGTATGGAATAAAATTATCTGACCAGAGCTAAAGGAAGGCTGGTTAGCATTCACCTTTTGCATCCTCAGCAGTGATGGTTAGGGTGTATTGAGGTGCTGTGCCCTCCATACTGTCTGCCTGGACTGAAATGACACCCGAGTCCCGGTCCACTCTGAAAAGGGCACGAGGACTCTCTGGAATTTGCCCGACCAAACGGTAGAAGATCCGAACGTTGTCTGTTTTAGGATCATCATTGTCGGCTGCCTGAACTGTAAGGATGTCTGTTCCTGGGGAAATAAATGAGGAAAGAACAATGAATGTGCATCCTGATGCACCAGGAATTTCTTGGAGGAATTTCTAAGGAGTCCTGCGACAGACTGGCGACCTGTCCAGGGTTTACCCTGCCTCTCCCACATATACTGCCAGAGGCACTCGCCCCATTGCGACCCTGACAAGGACTAAGTGGGGGAAGATGAGTGGATGAATTTCTAAGGAATTTTAGACAGCTTCCAAACTTCTAATAATCTTAATATTTTCCAAGTAATCCAATGGAAAACCTAAAAATGAATAATCTTAGCCTGGAAACGTTTCACTGTCTGCACTATGGTGCACACTTCAGTAGATAAATGGAACATGGGTATAATAATAACCTCCTCATTTATAACTCACTCAGTGATTCTGTTTAGATCAACAGATTGTGCCATCTAATTCATTTCCCAGAATCAATTTGTTTTAAAGGCATAAAAAAAGCTTTTATGCCCTTAGCACATATGTCCCAACACATTCAGGGTGCTTTTTTATGATCCTGGAGAAGAGTGTGGGTGCTTTCCCAGCATCTTGGCAAAACTCCCACAACCCTTTCACAAAAGCTACCTGGCACCCTCTGTGCTTTTAACACAGTAACAGCACTTCATCCACTGCTGCTGAATATTCCAAATAAAGATAAAAACTGGCAGTTAGTTATTTTCATTCATCATGTTTTTTAAGTCTTTAACTTATCATTAACAAAGACTAACTCTACCGTGATCCAAGAAAGCTGAAATATTTCAAATGCAAAGATAATTTTGTAAGACTTAAATGATCTATTTGCAGGAGTTTAAAAACAACAAAAAAAGTTTTTTTTTTTTTTACATCAATTTATACTTCCAACTGGTTTTGGACATTTTGGTTGATCCTGTTTTAAAATCTCAGCAGGGGCCTTTCTGTATGGTGTTTGCATGACTCTACTTTCTAAGGTTTTCTACGACTATCCAATAATATCTTTGTGAGATGAAGAGATGCTAAAATGTCCTTTAGAGTTAGCAGATATGTGACTCGATAATTTGTCTCAACTGTTAGCATGTAGGCCATGTGATGGACTGGCCGCCTCCTAAAGTTACTTCCAAGTAAACTAAAATCAACTTTGTCCTCTCACCACACATATTTTGCTCATACTGTCCATCACAATTAGCATAAGTGACAAAAGTAATGAATTCTTGAATTCTGATTTGAAGTTTGTCAGTGTTTGTCAGTTATTGTATATGCCACATCCACTTTCCAAAAGTAATCTGACCTTCAAATTAGACTGACACCTCAGTCTCACATTGGACTTAATGCTGGTCAAGTGTTATTTATCATTGAAAAGTAAAAGTCAGGAACAGTGGTAGTGCTTAAAGGCTCATCTGTTGTACACCCTGTTTTTATAACCTGTTGTTAAATTTGTTATATTATGTTGGTTATGTGAC